CACCCCCAAATCCCCCTATCACCCCCCCAAACCTCTAAATACCCCCCCAAATTACACCCCTGGCCCCCTAAGCCCCTGCAGGCATTGCCCCACCTTGGGCATGGAGGGGGGTTATGGGCAGCTGGGAGGCTCAGGGCAGGAGCGTGGTGGTCTGGTGCTGGTGGGGGCCCAGTTAGGGGTGCTGGTCACCCCATACTGGGAGGAACTGGGGGGAGCGTGCAGGTAGGGTATCCCCCAGCCCGGTGTGCTGAGACCTGCCCAACTCGGTGCACAGATGAATCCCGCAGTCTGGGGCTCGGCCTCACTGGTAGTTACTCTGGATTGAGCGCTCAGTCTAGAGGGGGAGAAGTCTGGAGGGGGTGGGGGGTCCCTTCCCCCCTCCCCAGGCCCTGCAGCACCCTGATGGGGAGGGGGTGGCACCTGTGGGTCCCCGGGGTGGTGGGATGGAGGTGGCAGAATGGGAGCTGGGGACAAGGTGGGGCACAGGGTGTCTGGGATTCCCCCGCCGGCATCTCCCTCCCCCGGGGGAAATCAGGAGGAAAGTGGGGGCTCCCCCACTGCTGCCTGGGCTCAGTGGGATGGGGGGGGGGCTGCGTCCCTCCCACCCCCCCACCGTGTCCTTGTCCCTTAGGTGCTGTCACAGCCCCCTCTCCCGTGGCAGTGCCACTAGGGCATGCAGGGAGCTGCTCCCGGGGGGCCGGGAGCTGTGCCAAAGCCGGCGTGCCCCCCCAGAGCCGGCCACCAGCCAGCCCCAGCTTTGGGGTCCCCCCCTCTGGCAGGGGGAGGGCTGCGTCTTTACTCCCGTTTAAGGGACTGTCACACGCAGTGACACCCTCAGTGAAGCCGGGGGCGGATGGTGAGAAACAGCTCTCGGCGGGTTCGGGCTTCCCCTGCCACCCCGTCACTGGTTTTGTCACCCTATTTTTGGGGTCCCAGGGGTGGAGGTGCCACCCCAAAGCCTCCCCCAGCCTTCCCCTTGCCCCTCGTAGCCCCGGGGCCACGCGCAGCCCCCAAGGGCTTCGTGGAGGGGGGGATGCGCCCGGGTGACGGGCATTGAAGTGGCCGTGGGAGGTGTGGGGTGAGCGGGGACAGGGGTGCGTGGCCGGGAGGGGGTGTCTGATGTGGTGCGAGGCAGACGGACAGATGGACGAGCGGGTGGATGGGCATCCGGAGGGACAGATGGAGAGACAGATGGACAGATGGATGGAGGGGTGGGGAGACGTGAGCAGGTAGACAGAGGGGTGGAGGGACAGAGGGAGAGGATGGATGGAAGGATGGATGGATGGATGGAAGGATGGAGGGAGGGAGGGGGCGGATGGATGGACAGACGGAGGGAGGGGATGGATGGAGAGATAGGTGAGTAGATGGATGGTCAAAGGATGGACAGACAGAGAGATGGGTGGACAGAGACATGGGTGGATGGACAGACAGTTGAATGGATGGGCGGACAGAGGGATGGGTGGATGGACAGATGGATGGACAGACAGGGCTGTTGCGGGATGCCTTCAGCCCAGCCTGGTTTCTATGCTGTTGCCAGTCCGATCCCTGCCAGCTGCCTCCTGCCTCAGTTTCCCCAACCCCCCCCCCCCCCCCCCACCCCAC